GTGGAATTAAGAAGCCGGATGTAATGGTGTTCCACGGTATGATCAAAGGGCTCTTGAGGTTGAAAAGGCCAAGGGAGGCAACACAAGTGTTTAGGGAGATGATCGGTAGAGGTTGTGAACCGACCATGCATACTTATATAATGTTGTTGCAGGGGCACTTGGGGAGGAGAGGGAGGAAAGAGCGAGATCCATTGGTGAACTTTGACACCATTTTTGTGGGAGGCCTGGTGAAGGCGGGGAAGATGTTAGAGGCAACGAAATACGCAGAGAGATTGGCTTTCCGGAAGATTGAGGTGCCGAGGTTTGATTACAACAAGTTTTTGCATTGCTTTTCGAACGAGGAAGGGGAGGTTATGTTTGAGGTGATGGCCAGGAAACTGAGAGAGGTTGGTTCCTTTTATTTGGCCGATATATTTCAAAGGTATGGTGAGAAAATGACAACTAGGGACAAGAGAAGAATCAGACATGTTGTCTAATTGGCTGAGTTAGAAGACTGTGAAGCAATCATCTGAGCATATGCATGTACATACTAAAACAGAGATTGAGACATGAGGTATTATATCTATGATTCGTTTTTCAGATTGAAAAAGGAATGCAAGTAAATAGTCTTGCGAGAAACCACACAATAAAACCCTCATAGTATCATACATAGCAGAGAAATAAAATCATAGTAGCAAATAGCCAAAAAGTAAATGAATATTGAATTTATTTTACAAAATTACCTCAACATTACCTCAAGAGATATGCTTTAATTTTAGTTTACGAATATTTAGCTATTTAAAACTTAAATTTAACAATTTAGACCATTTCCGGCTAACCAAACAAGCCTCAGTTATTTCACTTCATTGGTGTTTTCTGTTAGTCATGTTATTTGATTTACTACCTGTGGAGTAGTAGTCTGTTCCAGTGTTCCTTAAGGTTTGTCAGGCTGGAATATGGCAAGACGTTTGTGATAACCCAAGAATTCATGTTGCAAATAATTAAATATAATTAATTTAATTTAATTGTAACTTTGAATTCTTGGAGTATCACATTCTCCCCACTTAAAGGACGCTTCATCGCTGAAACTCAAACCAAACCAAACTAAGATCATAAGTAATTATCTTGCTGAAAGAGTTCCGGATAGCGCTCACGCATATCGGCCTCAGTTTGTCATGTCACGTTCTCAGCTAAGTTGTTAGACCACATCACCTTTACCATTTTCACACTCTTCTTCCTAGTCTCTCTTATCTTAGTATCAAGGATTTTCACCGACTTTTCTTCATAAGATAACGTCTCATCCAACTCAATCACCTACACCTCCATACTCATCACTTATAGCTAAGTCTAATTTGAAATGTTATGAGTTCTAAGGTTAGGAGTTTACCTCCGGTTTAAGAATATGAGAAGCATCGTGCATGTATTTCTTCAGTTGCGAGACATGGAAAACATTATTATGATGTACCTAATACGAAGGAAATTTTTCATTCAGATCCTAACGTCAAATCTAAGAATGAATATGAAAGATAATTTCGTACCGTATCCAATTCGGTTGGTAAGAGTAAATGATAAGCTAAGTTCCCACTCGTTCAAGGATTTCGTATCGTCCTATAAACTTGGGGCTTAGCTTGCCCTTATTCGCGAATCTCATTATTTTCGCATTCTTTTAAATTTGAAGTTTGAGAACTGGGACAACTAAATTGTTTTGGATTTAATTACTTAAATACTTGGGTTTATTTTGAATTGTGGTTTAGCCTGCGGTTATGTGAGAACCAAGTGTGGCAATAACACCCATAGAAAGTTTTATTTCCGCTGCAATATAAATTATTTTGAATTTAATCATTTGGGGAATGTTCTACTAAACTACTATTTATAGTATGTATTTTTGGTAAGAATTTTGGGGGTGTTACAATCCTATATAGTATAGAAGTGTGTCTAGTTCGGGTGGCTGCCAGTTCTTAGAGAACATCGCAGGTTTCTGGGACGACTCACTGATGAAAGGAAATTGAGAAAGACATTTTGAACCAAAGGCAATCAGCTACTGAACAATGCTGCTTGTCTGTAGTATCCCTTTTAAGCATTCCTTTTCCACACAATTCAGCCCTGGGACTTTGAGAAGCTGATTCAAGTTTGCCATACTTTTGCTCTGATTTGGTTTAGCTGCCACCATACATACTTCTTTCTCTTAGTGGACAATGTTATGAGGAAGTCATCAAAACTTCAAATATCTCATGGGGATCAGGTACCTCAAGAACAGCAAAAGACATTGGGCAAGTTTCTCTTGGTTCTGCTAAATAAAAAGATCTGTTTTTTAGTGAGAACTATGTGACATGCATCAATGTTACTGAGGTTTTTGCATTGGGCATTACGGAAGGTGAAGAGAATGAATTTCTGATTGACATTGTAATAGAAACTGTTTGGCTCTTCCTCTTGTTAAGTGGAACAGATGTTTTTTGGTTTGCCAATCTTATTATCACAGCACAGTAGGTACTCTGATCTCTTTGGGAGTTTGACAAAGAGGTCAGCAATTCATTAAACTTGTATCCCAAAACAATTACGTAGTATTTTATTAGCCTCTAATTTGTGATTCCTGGTATGTTCCCACCTCTGTTGTGTAATTGAGGGCTGATAATGTTGGAGGAAGCGAAGATTTCATCTTGTTAAGAATCTTTCATGTTTGATAATGTTGAAAACTCTACACACCGAGTTGAAGAAATAAATGCCTTGAATGATTGAATCATACATTTTTTGCATTTTTCATTTTGGATTTCTCCCTGTACCTTGTTCGGTTTTCATTGTAGACAGTTTCCTCTAGTAGAAAGTGAAAGTGAAACTTTAGAGGATGTGAACTTGAGTAAAACCTAAGATTCAATATTGCCTTTGTATATAACATCTCCATGCATTATTTTATTTGTTGCTTCTAATTTCAGTGAAATATATTGCCTAGTTTGCTTTAATATCTTTTGATGAATTTTGCTCGAATCTGGAGGAATTAAAAAGATAATGTGTGATAGATCCCTTTGTAAGTAACTATAATTTCCTTATGATTTAGTGTGATCATGTAAAACAGGCAGGCCCGCCCGCTTTGGCTTCCAGTCATGAAGCATTAATATCAGTTGGAGTTGAGAATGTTGGCGAGGCTGGAGCTGGGTGTGGCTGGCCAGATGATTCATTGGCCCTGGAGTAGCCAGAGAGAGGGAGAAGACTCCTTTGCTTTTGTCTTTTTCTTTTTCTTTTATTTCATTTTAGTTGAACACGCTATTCTTCATTCACTCAGTGACAAGTGTTTATGGCTGATTTAGATAGCGTGAGACCGTTTTGGTCATTGAAATTGATCTTTTATAAGAAATGTAAGTTTAAATAATTGGCATCCGAGCTAATTTTACTCAAATGAGTGATCAATCCGACTAAGGCTTAGCCGCGAGCACACAATTGATCAATCCGATTAAGTCAAATCACACCACCACTAGGAGAATATAAGTCAGTTTAAAAAAATGGTTTACTTACAAAAATGAAAACTAAAACATAAAGCTACCCTCGTATGGTCGAACATCAAGGAAGTTATACAATTGTAATTTGATGGTTTAGTTTGGTCTGATCTGGGTAATGTTCGCACGTACTGAAATAGTGATATATGCGTTCCACAAATCAATGGTTGTGACTCCCTCTGTCATTTTGAGCTTTATGACCTCTCCTTTTTTGTTTGTCTTTGTCGCTTTGCGTTTAAAGTAAATAATTTATAGTTGTGTTTAATTCTCTCTCTTTGCATAACCTCAACCGCTCAACTACACAATTGTTGTTATTTTATTTCACACATAACACAAACTTGTCAATATCTAATAGGACGGAGGTATGCCTGGACTCGGGCTGGTTCGGGCCTAGTCATGGACCCGGGCCGGGCCCGGCCAGGCTTTTTTTTTCGAAGGAAGGCCCGGGACCGGCCCGGGTAGCCACCGGGTCCGGGCCGGGCCGGGCTGGGCCTCCGGTTTGGTTATATATATATTTTTTGCTTTCCTAACCCCCCCCCCCCTCACCCCCCCAAACCCCTCCTAACCATCAAGCCCAACCAGGGTGGAACCCCAAAAAGGGAAAAAAAATCAATTCGGCCCGGACCCGGGCCCGACCCGGACGGTTCGCCAAATACAAGGCCCGAGCCCGGACCCGCCCCCCCCACCGGGCCTAGGCCCGACCCAGACCGGGACCCGAGAACCGGGCCGGTCCCGATCCCGCACAGTTGCGGGATGGGCCGATCTACGGGCCGGGCGGCCCGAACCGGGTCCATACCTATTCGGGCCCGATTCGGGCCTGGGCCCAGCCGGGCCTCAGTTCATGAAAGGGGAGGCCCGGAACCGGCCCGGGTAACCCCCGGGTCCGGGCCGGGCCTCGGTTCAATTTATAGTTTTTTTTGGCTTTTCCTAATTAACAATTAACCCTCCCCTCTCACCCCCAAACCACCCCAAACCACATCAAATGGCCCAAAATACTCAGCCCAACCCAAAAACTTAAAAGAAAAAAAAAAGAAAAAAAATGGAAAAAATAAATAAATTGGCCCGGACCGGGCCCGAACATGCGAGGCCGGTTCACCTTTTGAGGGGCCCGAGCCTGGACCGGTCCCTGGCCGGGCCGGCGGTTCGGGCCAGTTCAAACAGTAACCGGTTCGGGCCGGTTCCGGGGCGGGCCGCCTGGCCCGAGTCCAGGCCTAGACGGAGGTGATACATTTTTTGTTTGTGATACTCTTATTTCACAAACATGCTTAATCAGCAACTAACTTGACAAGTCAGAATCATTTGTGTAAATGATTGTAAAGTATGCACAATAACGATTGTTGTTAAGCGAAAGGCTCTTATGTTAAGTAAGATGAAGCCTTATCATGAAGCCTCGCTTGAAAGCAATAGCAACACATTCGTGACTATCATAAAGCCTGATGCAACAAGAAGATAAAAACACGAAAAACGAGTTACATCCTTGCACCACAGTTCAACAAATATCTTAAAGTACAAAATTTAGCTTATTAGCTAAATGTTCTATACAAACAGGTCAACACTAGGTTAACATTATCTTTCAATAATGGCACAAGAAGGAAAACTAATCTACAATAGTACAATGATTGAGTCGTGTATGTTGTTTGGACAACGAAATAATAAAACGTAGAAAAAAATGGTTGCTCCCCTCAGCAATGAAACCAACCCCAATGGGAAATAGCAGGGTGTTTCTAAAAGAAATAGAAGTTATAGAACCAGCACCAAATTAATCAGTGAGTTAAATTCACTGGTCCAACCCGACTTGAGCTGGCCTCGCCAAATGAAACAGAAGCTAGAGACTTTGAGGCCCATACCTTAGCATTCATAGGCTCCTTCCTGCAAATTCCTCCGCTTGCATGGTTCCTTCAATGAACTAAATACTTGGAATACTCGGTGCAGGTAGAGCAGAGGATGCTCCCACAAGGAGCTTATCCTCAATCAAAGGTTTTAAATAGCCGTAGCGGCAGCGGTAGCGGTCATCGCGGTAGCGGCCTGTAGCGGCCTGTAGCCGACTGTAACGGTTGCAGCGGCGTAAAATATTTTCAATTGCGCAAAATATAAATGTATTTTTTCACATCATTCACACAACATTTAATTTTGAGTTTCACTCCATGCATCACCATTAATGTATTTTTTCACATCATTCACACAACATATACACATTTACACATCAAACAGTTCGTGATGTACTGCCGGAAATGTCAATAGCGGGCTGTAGCGGGCGGCGTAGCGGATTTTTCCCGTGATTTGGAAATCACACACGAATAGCGGGCCGTAGCGGTAGCGGCCCCTACCGCGACCGCTATATAGCGGCCGCTATAGCGGTAGCGGACCGCTATTTCAAACCATGATCCTCATGTTGTATCTCATGTAAGAAAAATGAGCAAACCTACAGATATACGGGAAAAGGGTATACAGCAATCTTAGGAGAACAAACACAGTTGCCAACATCAAGTACGTCTCCTGCTGAAGAAAGTTCTCACGAGACCTTGCCCAGGGGAATGGGCAACTTTCTGGTTCACTCCCAGTATTATAAATGTGCTGGTTTCGAGAACATCCAACCTTGTTTAGGGATATGACATCTACTGGTGGTGTCATGTAACCTTTGCAGCAGATAAATTAATATTGATAAGTAAATAAACACACCAATAAATAAAGAAAAAACATAGGTCACGAGAGAAAGATCATTCTGGCTAATGAAATCTTGTAAGACTAATTTTAGATTGGAGATAAAGGAATTGTATAAGTTATGATTAAAAATAGAACTGAATATGTTTTAGTCCCTATAAATATAGTGAATTTTGTTTTATGAAAAACAAAAAAATTGCAGGAATCTAATACAAAATGTGTGATATTTTAAGGGACTAAAAATATGCATCTGCTGCAAATAACATCTTACCAGTTACACCACCATAGAAGTTAATTAAAGAGTCAAGGGTCCTGTGGCCATGATATTGAGCACGCATTGTACAATTCAGAATTAAGATTGTAGGAAGCCCGTGCACTCCATATTTTGAGAGAGTACTGCAAATTTCAAAGTCTGATTTCATCTACTTAACAAGATGTGATACAAATTAAATCTGAAACGGTTGCAAGTTCTCTGACCTTGGCTTGACAGCTGACTCTTCAATTGCATAGTGGGGAATTGAGGGGAACAGAGAAGATAAATCAGAAAAGATTGGTCTAAGTGTAATTAAAATGCAATTGTTAATTACAATTGTGTAATTAACAATTATTAAAAAATTCCTATCTTAGTACTTTTTTTTAAATACAAACATTAAATAGTGTAATTAAAATGCAATTTCTTTATTTATTTAAATAAAAATTCCTATCTCTGTACTTTTTTTAAATACAAACATTAAATAGTGTAATTAAAATGCAATTGTTAATTACAATTGTGTAATTCCTTTATTTTACAAGGCCTAATTACAGTAATTAGCACACAATGCCCTAGTACAATTTGGAACGAGCTTGTAACTACTTTCTTTTTCATACTTTGTCCTTACTTTACTTTTCTGAATATATTATCTTTTCTACCTTTTCATTTACCTTACACCTCTATACTACACCTACTATTTTCTTCTTAAAATCCAAAAAAAAAAACCTAAGGAGGTTTTATTTAAAAACTTATTATTATAGTGTTTTATACTTTAGAGTTTAGAGTCTCATATTCAATTTTGCACAAGGCTTTTTATATGCCAGGGTCGCCCATGATGATGATGATGATGATCATGATGATGATGGTGATGATGACGACGACGACCATAATAACCATAATAATAATAATAATAATAATAATAATAATAATAATAATAATAATAATAATAATAATAATAATAATAATAATAATAATAATAATAATAATAATAATAATAATAATAATAATAATAATAATAATAATAATAATAATAATAATAATAATAATAATAATAATAATAATAATAATAATAATAATAATAATAATAATAATAATAATAATAATAATAATAATAATAATAATAATAATAATAATAATAATAATAATAATAATAATAATAATAATAATAATAATAATAATAATAATAATAATAATAATAATAATAATAATAATAATAATAATAATAATAATAATAATAATAATAATAATAATAATAATAATAATAATAATAATAATAATAATAATAATAATAATAATAATAATAATAATAATAATAATAATAATAATAATAATAATAATAATAATAATAATAATAATAATAATAATAATAATAATAATAATAATAATAATAATAATAATAATAATAATAATAATAATAATAATAATAATAATAATAATAATAATAATAATAATAATAATAATAATAATAATAATAATAATAATAATAATAATAATAATAATAATAATAATAATAATAATAATAATAATAATAATAATAATAATAATAATAATAATAATAATAATAATAATAATAATAATAATAATAATAATAATAATAATAATAATAATAATAATAATAATAATAATAATAATAATAATAATAATAATAATAATAATAATAATAATAATAATAATAATAATAATAATAATAATAATAATAATAATAATAATAATAATAATAATAATAATAATAATAATAATAATAATAATAATAATAATAATAATAATAATAATAATAATAATAATAATAATAATAATAATAATAATAATAATAATAATAATAATAATAATAATAATAATAATAATAATAATAATAATAATAATAATAATAATAATAATAATAATAATAATAATAATAATAATAATAATAATAATAATAATAATAATAATAATAATAATAATAATAATAATAATAATAATAATAATAATAATAATAATAATAATAATAATAATAATAATAATAATAATAATAATAATAATAATAATAATAATAATAATAATAATAATAATAATAATAATAATAATAATAATAATAATAATAATAATAATAATAATAATAATAATAATAATAATAATAATAATAATAATAATAATAATAATAATAATAATAATAATAATAATAATAATAATAATAATAATAATAATAATAATAATAATAATAATAATAATAATAATAATAATAATAATAATAATAATAATAATAATAATAATAATAATAATAATAATAATAATAATAATAATAATAATAATAATAATAATAATAATAATAATAATAATAATAATAATAATAATAATAATAATAATAATAATAATAATAATAATAATAATAATAATAATAATAATAATAATATGAGTTGCAGGGATATTGCTCTTTGGAAAAGTAACAAGATGAAGCATGCTATGGATTTTTCTGCTAGCTATCCCTGCTGAAGGTCTAGGACAAACCATTAGTCCTAGACAGTTTACTGCAATCTTGGCATACAGACTTGGCATCCCCCTATTTCAGCATGGTGCTACTTGTTCTTGTTGCCTTGGTAGTATGGATGCCTGGGGGGATCATGCCCTTCATTGCTCCAGTCAGATTGGCCCCAAATTCAGGCATAATTTGGTTAGGGATACTGTGGCTGATATTTGTTTCCGGGCTGGTATTTCTCATAAAATCGAGGCTCCCTTGGGGTTCCTTACGCAGCAAGGGGGTGGGGCTAAACCTGCTGATGTTCTTCTTTATGGATGGGATAAGGGTGTTGATGTTTGCTTGGATGTTACTATTGTTTCCCCTTTTGCAGGGGATGTTAATCTTGAACATTTTAAACCCGGTGCAGCCTTAACCAGAGCTATTGAGAGGAAGAAGCATAAATATGAAGATATTTGCAAAAGCAATGGTCACAATTTTGGTACCTTGGGCTTCACCACCTTGGGGGAACTCGGACCGGAATCCATTTTGTTTCTTAAACGTGTTAAGAGCCATATTGCTAGACATGATTCCACTTTAAGAGTTGGCAATTTTCTTTTTATTATGATTGGATTAGCCATTAAAAAAGGGGTTGGAGCTCAACTTGTTGCTAGGCTCCCCACTTGTTATTTGTAATCCTTCAACTTTTCTTATCCTAATAAAATGCCTTTCCATAATAATAATAATAATAATAATAATAATAATAATAATAATAATAATAATAATAATAATAATAATAATAATAATAATAAATAGTTAAGAGAACAAAAATCTATGATCTTTACTCCGTATTGTTTGCACGTTATAACATGCAACATTGCTCTCCTTAGTTACGCACTCCTGTAGTTAAAGGGGATGTTTTCGGTTCTTTTCAAAGCCCGAAAACATAGGTAGAAAAGGAACAAATGAGAATGATATCTTATGCTTCTATAGTTGGAAGCCTAATGTATGATTAAGTTTGTACTCATCCCGATATCGCTTATATTGATGGAATGTTAGACCGGTATCAACATAATCTCGGTTTAGATCATTGAAAAGCGGCAAAGAAAGTTCTACGATATCTTCAAGGGACAAATGAATACAAACTAACTAATAGAAGAACTGATAACTTAGAACTGATTGAATTTTTGGATTCCGACTTTGCGAAATGCAAAGACGATGAGAAATCTACTTGGGGTATATCTTTATGTCAACATTCTGACCTATCTCGTGGAGAAGTCATAATGAAAAAATTGACAACGACCTCAACCATGATGGCGGAGTACGTTGATGTCTAATATGCAACTTGCCATTGAATGTTATTAAGAATCATAATTAGTGGACATAAAGTCGTGAACTCCATATCGAGACCATTGAAGATATAATGTGATAATTCTGCAACCATTACTTCTTCAAACAATAAGAGTTCGAGCGGTGCCGAATTATATCTTGACACAAAGTTCTTGTTCATACATAAACAAGTAGAGGAAATCATCCTTTGTGTCGATTAGATTATCACTCATGATATGTTTCTGGATCCAATAACAAAAGGTCTACCACCCAAAGTCTTCCAAGAGCTCGTAACGAAGACGGGTTTTATTAGAGATCTTATATGAAAGCATATTATTGTAAACTTCCTCAAATGTCTTAAGTATTTTGTCTATACTAATGTATGCATGCACTTATTTCTCTATAGACAAATATATACAAATTAATATTGTATATTTCCATCATTTTGGCATTAAATTTTCTAAGTGCTTTATGTTAAAGTTTTAGTATAATTGGTGGGGGTCTTTTGTTGATAGCAACAAAATGACTGTATCTTTTTGCTATGACTTTAATATGAAACATCATGGGTATTAATTTTGGCCAAACTTATGAATACTCATAAAAAATGGTCACTCGGCCAAGTGGGAGAATGTTGGAATATTTTCCATTTTATATGTGGCCTTAGGACCATTTATAATAATTATTTAATTATTACTATTTTAATAGTAATTACGCCAATATGATATAATGTGTCCCCGTCTTACCTAAACATTACTTGATGGAAGTAATTGTAATTATTATAAGGGGATAATTGATTTCCCATTAAAAAAACTCACAATCCTACAATCCTACAAGTATTGCACCAAAAGTCTACTTTTCCTGCCCCGGAGTTAGAAACTTGGGAGAAGAATGCTATTGGTATTGAGTGGATCAATCCTACAAGTATTGCACCAAAAGTCTACTTTTCCTGCCCCGGAGTTAGAAACTTGGGAGAAGAATGCTATTGGTATTGAGTGGATCATGACGAGAATGATAAAATGGGATAGGGAGAATATGATGTCGCAGTTATCTGCTAATTAAACACTATTATATTGATGCATTATGCAATCGTTGTCGAGAAATGCCAAGCGTGACAAACCTACTATACAAAAGTTGAAATGAGACTACTAACTGGTTTTAAAAATTCAATCTATCAATTTAAATATCGTATTTAACCAGATGCAGTTACGTTACAAGTTTAATTTTTATTTACACCCGAAGTTAAAAGAATGATATACTCCGTATATTGTTGTGACCTGATGCGATTAAGTACGTTATGGATTTCAAGTTGATTTCAAATATATATATAATTGTAATTGTAATGCTCTACTACAATAATGTTGCCTATTGTGACAACTAATTAAGAGTGTATCAACGCTACAATAACAAGCTTACCACCCAATTGAATAAAACGAGAAACACTGTCAATCTCTTGTTGATGATGTAAGCTAGCACCGCATTGTTGGCTTTAGTGTCGTTGATGGAACAATTGTATGGACATGGGTATTTGTCGATTATTCGCACGCCTTTTCGAT